CCTTAACTTTTTTTTTTTTTTTTTTTTTTTTTTTTGTCTTTTTCCGTGTCCGGCAACGGATTGCAACCCTCGGCGTTGCTCCCGCGCCTCGCTCAGCCAGTGAGCAGGAACCAGTCTGTATGTGGGATCCGAACCCTCGGCGGGAGCGTCGCCACACTTCACAAGCTGTGCACTATAGCAGTGCGCCACCGGGCCGGCCCGAGCCTTAACTTTAAACTACTATGTATACTACATCCTTTAAACTCAAAAGCTGCATGACTTTAGTTAAATAAATATGGGCTGTGCTTTAGCAAAGTAAGCATTTTTTATTAACTTGGAACTATTTTACCAGACAACTTTCAACTGAATTGTAAGAAAACTTCTAATTTAAACCCTAAAATGCAGCTGGGAAAGGGTCTCCACTATAATGACCTCTACGTATAGATGTCATCTAGAAAAACATGGAATTGAAAATCTTCGGGCCAAATGGTTTTAAGGCTATATCTCTGAAAATCATGATGGAAGACTACAAGAAAATATATATGTTTAAATTTTACACAAAGTCTTTTAAGAAAATACTTTATGTAAAGCACAATCAAAACATATTCAACACAAAACACTGCATTTTAAGGTAGGAAATCTAAACTCAAGTCATATTACATGTACATGAAAGGAATCAAGCTGTGGCAGCCCAAAGGTATGTATATATATATAACCATTTACAAACATTGTCAACACCATGTACAAGGGCCTTTTCCCTTGCTATCTGCTTTTCTTTAAACTACATTTTTAGTTTCTAGAAGCAGTTTGCTTTCCTTTGAATTCAAAGCTTTTAATTGACATGAACTTTTTTTTTAAGCTGGTCCTTTTCAAGTAGAAAAAGGAAAAACCTAAATTATACTTTTATAGTAAGTTGACAGTGCCTCTTTAACCTGAACCCTGAGCCCTCAACCCCTGAAGTTACACAATTCAAGCAACATGTGGATGGGGTGTAGTACAATAGTCTTGAGAATATTGAGAAAAATCAATTCAATTTGTGAATTTATTGAGCACCCACTGTAGGCAAGACAGAGCTAGGTGCTGCCCTGAGTAAGACACAGCCCCCATCCCCTTAAGATTGTTCTTCGGTGAGAAAACCAGGGAGCTTAAATACACTCAGTAGTGTTTCTCCAAGGCTTTTTGCAGAACTCTCAAGAAAAAATAGAGCTCTAGCTTAAAAAAAAAAAAAAAATCCCCTGAAAAACAATTATAATCCCTTAACTTGCAACCCACAATGACAGGGATAAACTTAAAAGCAGCATCATAATATTCTAAAGTTTTAGCTTTCCCCTCCCCACCCACAAAAGGCTAACTGCTAAAACAAGTTCAAGTTTATGGATGTGTATGATGAGGGTGAGGGAAGAAGGTAGGAGGAGGATTGTTGGTTTTAAAATCCAAGTTCTCTTCCAACCACTACAAGGAGATTAACCTGATCACTAGTTGCCTATGCTGTAGCTGTAGGTAACACATGACAGGGATCACCCAGTACCTGCCAGGATTGCCCAGTACCGTCTCCTCCCTTCTAATCCTTCTCTTAACCTGGGCCTCCTTTGGAGCAGCAATAAGAATCAAGGTTTCCTCTCTAAGGAAAACTAAATTTCCTCCTCAGTCAAAGATGTCAAATTCTATCCAAAAGATAGTTTCCCTCTGTTCTAGCCCAATTAATATAGTCTCAGCAGTTCTAAATTTCATTAATATCTCCTACTCAACAAAGAGAATGAAAAACCATTCAACATAACACTACACTAAAGAGCTTTCCGGAGAGGATCTCAAAGGGATAGCTATACGCTTATTTGCAAAACACCCTTGAGAACATTTGTGATTACCTTCATTTAACAGATTAAGAGATGGGGTTGTGGCTTGACAGTGGATCAATGACAGCCAAGAAGTAAACTCACTGCTCAATGCTGAAAATCCTATCTTCCTAAGCTAATATTCCTTTAGGAGAAAAAAATTAAAATATTATGTATTGGGTTCTCCTTGGGAAGGAGGGAGTGTTCATAAAGCTTTAAAATGAGAATGAGGCAGTAATTGGAATTAGACCCAATGCCAAGAATATTAATAATATCTACCCAATAGATTCAGTTCTACATGATCCTAACTAGCTTCCATTTATAACTGAAGTAGGGAAGTGAAAGGCCTATTTTTCAAGGGCAAAACATTTTTGAGGATTATGTCATTAGGTTTCCAGGGTCTAACTAGTGCTCCCTGAAAATGATTTATGCATTCTTAAAATAGAGGTGAAATGACAAAATAAATAAAGAACATTCCCAGTATGATCTGTACAAACAAGCACAATGGTTGGGTGGGGGTAGGGTGGGGTGGGGAGTATAATATGTGAGAGGAAAAAAGCATATGAGAATAATTTGGGGGCAACTCTCTTCAAATCCATAGAGAGAATGCCTCCTTGGGCTTAAGGTGGTAAGGGAGGGGAAAGATGCAGAGAAACAGCCATTAGAACCAAGCCAGCTTCTCCTCTCAGTCATAGGCCTCTGGGCCTGGCATTGGGTTCCAAGAAGAGACCACCTTCCTGGTATTTCAACTGATAAAGAAATGTATAGCTGCTCAAGTACATGGTCAGTATGGGGGGGCACCGTATCCTCAGAAGAGGATTCTCTAGTGAGAACCTGCAGTGACCACTATTTTCAAAATCAATGTTGGTTAATGCCCTGAATGCTGTCAGGAATAAAGGAAGACAGCCTGCCCAGCAAGGGACAGAGAAGAACCACTAAGGACACCTCTATACCTATGGTTTACAGATAGCCACCAACAAGTAAAAACTAGGTCCTGGTCCATTAGGAAATAATATGCTAGTCTGGGAAGAGTGACTTCTGCTAATTAATATAAGATTTTAGGAAGAGGTTTCAATCTCCCTGACTAAACTTCCCAGCATTCTTTATTTCCTGCACCAATACATCAATGGAAAATAGGACAGGAGCACATAGATAGGGCTACATTTCCCAGTTTGTATTCTAGCAACTTCATTTGCAGTTCTTACTACAGCAGCAATGACGTTGTGGAAGCAAGGCTAACAGCTGCTTCCACCAGCCTGGAATAGAACTTCTCTTGGTACATTCCAAGCTTTCCTTTCTCTGCCCCACCAAATTGGTTGGGTGAGTTGGAGCATAATCACCTTAGTACCTACCAAAGCCCCAGTCAATCCCTTTCATGTGGTAGTGAATGAGTGCTGCAGCCAATCCACTGTCTGGGTGCAGCCCCCACAGCCTTGGGGGGAGCAGCCCTGTCTAGCTCCTCACAGCATTCCAGGTAGGGATGGGCTGCATTTCTTTCCTTATGACATACACACGTTCCCTGACTTTCCAGTGCAGTTTCCAACCCTGTCCACTACTGCCTTGCTCCTACATAATTTGCCTCTCCTATATTTATGTGGTTTGCTTTTTGTTGTTTTTGAGATGAACCTGTAAACGTGAGAACTCAGGGATCTGAGGTACTTCACATGAACACACTTATGAATCAGTCTTTCATTTTTTGAAAACAAGAACAGGAAAACAAGTTTCCCTTTCCCCTCAGAAATGTGTGCATCTTTCCACTAGATGAACAAGGGCTACCTCTGCACCACATCACTGATTTCCTGTACACATGATAATAAGTTATTAAGGACAGGGTTTGTCCCGGGCACACCAGCAGCTGCTGAAGACACCTGCAGCTCCTGCAGGCTGAGTTCCAGTTTGCTCACAGCCTCGCGGAAGGCAAATTTGTTGCGAGTTTGAGGGATGCAGTCCACATAGCCTGAGCAGTAGTCGAGCAGCTGGTGGCCAGTGTCTACCAGCTGGCTATTGGGCACAGGTTCCGTGATTGCACTGGACAGTAGGTCAGCACATTCCAACAGGGCCTCTTTGCTAATTTTGTCTGCTGAGATTTTCTCAGCCATCTGTTTGGTTTTTCTCAGAGCCACTTTAGTACCTGCTGTGCCATTGGCCATTTTGGCTGGCGAGATGTTAGATGTGGGCAGAGGCACTTGAGGTGGAGACATCACTGGCTTCCCAGCTTTCCCACTGATGGGCACTGCCCCTGGAGCTGCATTCTTCCCTCCTTCCTGTGTTTCTGATGTGAGCTGTCCTGCAGTTGGGGCAGTTGGCTCTTCCATAGGGTCTGAGCATATGGACGGATGCTGCAGTAGTCTCATCACTGGTGGTGGGGGTGGGGCACACTTTGGTTTTACCCGTCGGGGTCGGTCCTTGTCTCCAGAGGAAGTGACCTGATGCTCAGATAAGAGCTTGAATTTATTCCCCTGAGAGTCTGTGCCAATCAGCTGCACGTCAGCTGGAGTGTGTTTCAGAGTGGGTGAGATAAGGACTGGCACTTTGTGGTTGTGAGTGGTTGGGAGGACTGCTGCAGCCTTGGCTGGGGAAGACCAGCCTGGCTGCTCTCCATTCTCTGGGACTCCAGCCATCCCAAGTCGTGCCCCACCATTCCTCTCCTTGCCCTTGGGAGCAGCTGTCACTCCAGCTACCCCCACCCCTGAAGAGTCCTTCTCTGTAATGGCTGAATCCCCAGGGGGTGTTCTGAGAGGAAGAGCTGTGGCTCCTCTGGGCAATAGTTTGGCTTTTGGTCTCTCCCTGGTTGGAGCAGCACCTTCCTCTGTTTTTTTTGGAAGCATGTCATTGGCCCTGTCCACATTCTCTTCTGGTTGAGAAGAGGTGGACACTGTCCTTTCCAGCGGGAGTTTGGACCTCTGGCAGTTCCTGGGAAGAGTCATTGCCATCCTATCCTGCTCTGGAAGCCCTGAGGACATGGAAGATGTAGAGTTTGACCTTGGAAAAGGCTTGGAAGTGTCATCACTGGCTGTGGGTTTACCTGCTCGTAGGCCCAGTGTCTTTTTGATTAAGCGTGGTGTAAAGAAGCCTGTGATGCCAGACCACCCACCCCCAGCAGTGCCACTGCCCCCACCCCCACCCCCATCGTCATTACAGAGGTTCCTCTGTGCAAAGCTCCCCCCATAGCACTTTGGTGGTACTAGATTCGCCTCTTGCTGGGCAGGAGTGAAAGAGAACCCATCAGCATGCTGTAGAGAAGCAACAGATGAGAAGTTACCCATGAGTTCGTATTTCTTGTGGGGCTGATTCTCCATTTCTCGGAAGGAGCTGCTGCGTTTGGGGGGTGTGGGAGCATTTCTCTTTTTCATGAAGGAGCTGAAGAAGCCCCCCTTCCTATCCCTGGTGAAGCATGTCTCTTTGGCATCTTCCAAGAGGCTGCTGGGTGACTTGTCTCTCTGCTTCCGAGGCAGTGCTGGGGACCCACTGGAGGCCTGAGCACTTCTAATGAACCCTGATGAGAAATGGCCAATCAATAATGTGAAAGAAGTAAATCCATTATATTTAAGTTACTATGGCTTAATCTTAAGAGTCTGTCAGCATCTATTAAATGTCAGGTATTGGTGGGACTTGGATGAAACTAATAAATACATTATCATTTCACAGTGATTAATGTTACAAATGCAATGTGGGTTACAAACGGGGGAAAATAACTTGCTGGTTATTACCTCAGTAGTCATCATTTCTCTAAAATCAGCTGTACAACCTGTCTTTATCTAACAGGCTGAAGATGTTTTTGCCAGAACTGTAGAGACGGTAACTACTTGGGAACCAGAGCCTGAGGAAATGGAGCTGGAGGCAGAGCTGTATTTTGGATGGATAGGTCAGGCCTTCTAACACTAGCAATGCACAGCAAAGGATTAGAGTGGTAGGTAAAAAAGATGCCATACTTAAGACAGGCATGAAAGTGAGCATGAAAACATCCTATCCCATGGTGCCTTAAACTAGGCTGTTTCTATTTTGATTCCACCTGCCTAGGGACCCATACCTGGTGCTGAACTGGAAGTGGAATTTTCTGTGGCATCTTGTGCCCCTTCAATGTTCTCCTTGTTCTCTAACTGCTTCTTCAGTGTCCGAGTCTTGGAAGGAAGAATAGGTAATCGGGGCAGGTATGGAACAACAGATGAGGAGGAGGCAGCTCTCCCCAGCTCCTCAGCTACTTCTGTGAAGAAGACAAGGGCATTGATTAAAGAACAATTTCACAACAGAGAAAAGGAGTTTTTCTTTTCAGAAAAGGCATACAACTGAGAGAGAACTGGAGAGTAGAGAGAAAACGTAAATGTAATCATAGAGTGTGCACTCTCTTGTGTGGCTTCTTTGCTTCAACGTTGTGTCTGCAGATTCATTCATGAGTTGCATGTGAGAGGGGTTCTTTCTCGTAGCTATGTTGTATAGCAATGTTGAATATACCAAAATTCATCTGTGCTTCTCTTCATCGATATTTAGGTTGTTCCCAGTTTTTGGCTAGTATAAATATGTTGCTAGAAACATCTGCCACATGTCTTTTTGTTCACAATTGTATGCGTGTCTCGAATGGACACAGGAGAATTGGTGGGTACATGTCAAACTGGGTCCTGCCAAACTGTCCCAAAATGGCTGTACCAATTGACACTACCATAAGCAGTGTATAATTTTAGAGAGTGTATAAAAGTTCTGGCTACTCTGCATGCTTACCAAAATTTGATGTTATCAGGGTTTTTTTGTTTGTTTTAATTCTGTCTGTTCTGGTAGGCCTGTAGTGGTATCACATTTTGATTTTATTTTCTATTTCTCTGATGATGAGAGACGTTGAGCATGGTTTCATATGCTTATTGATCATTTGGATATCCTTGTTTACTGTGTGCCTATTCACAGGCTGAACAAAGCAGACAAATGTCTGCAGATATTTTGAGTTTTAGGTTGTACCTTGCACTAAAAAAGAGGGTAGATACAATTCATTCCATGTCATGCAAATGAAGCAAATTAGGCTCTTGAAAAAGTGTTCATCCATTAGTAAGCCTTGCCTGATTAAAACTTGGCCATAGGTTTTGTGGCTTTTACTGAGGCAAAGACATACTCTGTTATTCATTCCCAAACAAAAAGGAATCAGGTAGGATCAATTAAGTTGTGAGATTTTATAATTGTTTTACAACTTTTTTGATGATTATTTTAAAAATTAGTTTGCCACAAGTGTAGGCACATAACCTAAACCAGGACAATGAAATTCCTATTTATGCTGCTCTACACAGCAGCTAGATTCAGACATTATCTTCATTGATCATGAGCTCTAAAAATATGACCTCAAGAATGCTGGTAACTATGCCCCATGCCACTTAGAAGATTGTGAGGATGGGCCGGCCCGGTGGCGCACTGGATGGTGCGCCGCTTGGGAAGCGCGGTGGCGCTCCCGCCCGAGGGTTCGGATCCCACATACAGACCGGTTCCGCGGGAGCAACACCGAGGGTTGCGATCCCGTTGCCGGTCCCCGGTCCGGTACGGGGGCAACACTGAGGGTTGCGATCCATTGCCGGACACGGAAAAAGAAAAAAAAAAAAAAAAAAAAAAAAAAAAAAAAAAAA